TAGCTAGTGCTTCATAGCGTCGACTAATAGCTAATAAGCAAAATAGCTTATTCGTAGAGCAGCTATTATAGATTCTTTCCCGACGAAGAGTCCCCACGGGTAGAAGGAGCAGAAGAGCACCGTAGTTTGACAAAATTATTTGGAATGCTAGGAGGGCAGAGGACGGGATACCTAGGACAAACAACAAATTAGAAGCGGGGCGCCGGGGAATTAAAGAGATGGCATATCGCGGGAAATACAAATTTACAGTCATAGATATCTTGCATTTTTGAAGCGAAGTGAATGGGAAGGGAACAGAGGTCCAACGAAATTGCTATTTTGACGATAGCTATTTCGTCACTAGCTGTCTTGAGGCACTAGCTCTTTATGCGTCACTAGCTACTTTGACGCTAGCTGTTTTGTCACTAGCTGTTTCTAAGCACTAGCTATTTTGCTTCACTAGCTATTTTGACGCTGTGAGGGGGGCTTAGGCCGGTCCTGTAGGCCCTTCGTTACCTCCCCTCCAGATCTCTACTCTACTCTACAGGATCAGTGGTCGGCCGGGACGTCTCCTAGCCTTTTACCCGTCTGCCACCCGGGCCACTGTCCTCTACACTAATTGAACTAAACTATGCATCGTGGTTCAGGTGAATAACTCCGCCATTTTGGGGCACACGCGGTTTGTAGCGAACCCTGGGTTAGGAGCTAAGCTCCTGAGCCATGATGACTAACTAGGCACCGAATGAAACTGACTCCGCTCAATTTCCGTTCTCCTCCGACTCATCCCATTTCCAAAAGCTTCTGGTCAATTCATACCCACATATATTATCAAAGCCGAACATCATGAAAGGACTGCTAGAGAGATGACGATATAATTTCCGCGTACTACCCTACCAATACCCTAACGACAATCGACGCGCGAATCTACCTATTCCTCCACCCAGGTGCTCCTATCCTAGCTAAGGGATGTCCGTGAGCCCGCGACAATCCCTGCGTGACGGGAACCTACCTCGAGCCAGGAGAGCCAGCAGCAGAAGAGTAGTCGGGCACAGCGCAGCACAGCACTTCGGCAGGCCAACACTGAGCCCCGACTCCTCCTCTCGCTGTGCTTATGTACCGGGCTCGAGGTGGAAACGCCCCCCGTCCGCCGGCCCGAGGCTAAGGCCGACCAACCGGGGCGCTTGGTTACCGTCACGCTGACCTCCCTCGACGCGGACGCGAGCACAACGGAGGAACAAACGGACGAACAACGTTCACATTAATACCTACATCCCTACAATTTCTACAAGCATACGTTTACATTAATACGAAATTCCTACATCCCTACATAAGGAACAAACGGACGAACAACGTTCACATTAATACGAAATTCCTACATCCCTACAATTTCTACGAGCATATGTTCACATTAATACGAAATTCCTACATCCCTACAATTTCTACATTTCTACAGCATACGTTTACATTAATGCGAAATTCCAATACGAAATTCCTACATCCCTACATAATACCCCCTTCTTGGCTAGGGGGGAAAAATTCCCTTACTCCGGGGGCGGGGCGAAGCACGACACGGTAGCATGGTTCTCGCATGGCTCGGCAGCTGTAGGCGCGCAGGCTGATCGCCTGAGTGTTCGCATTCGTTGGCGTGGCACAGGGCCGCACGCGGGCTGGTGGCACGGGCAGCGTGCGAACGGTCACTGTGGGGCACACGGCAACGGTTGTTCGACCGCTGTTGGAGGTGGCGTGTGACAGCGAGGTCCCGAGCACTGCACGTCACTGCGCGCGGGCTGGCGGCACGAGTAGTGTCCGAATGTCCGCCGGCGCGGCAGTGCGCTGAGCGGGCACGGCTCTGTGTCCGACCGCTGCCTGAGGCAGCGTGGGACAGCGTAGGTCCAGGCACTGCATATCACTGCACGCGTTTGGCGGCACGAGTAGCGTCCGAACCGGCGCGGCACAGGGCAGCACGCGGGCTGGTGGCACGGGCAGCGTGCGATCGTTCGCCCCTCCGTGGGGCACCTGGCAACGGTTGTTCGACCGCTGTTTGAAGCGGCGTGGGACAGCGAGGTCCCGAGCACTGCACTTCACTGCGTGCGGGCTGGTTGCACGAGTAGCGTCCGATTGTCCGCCGACGCGGCACACGGCAGCGCGCTGAGCTGGCACCGCTTCTGTGTCCGACCGCTGCCTGAGGCGGCGTGGGACAGCGTAGTCCCAGGCACTGTGTATCACTGCACGCGAGCTGGCGGCACGAGTAGCGTCTGATTGTGCACCGGCGCGGCACACGGCAGCGCGCGGAGCTGGCACGGCTGGGCACGGGCAGCGTCGAATGGTGCGCCGGCGCGGCACTCGGCAGCGGGCACGGACTGCCGCTTGGCGCGTGAGCATTCGGCCCTCAGGTAGGCGGTGACCGTTGGTGATCGGTAGCTTTTACCACCACGAAGATCGCACACGGCAGCGCAAGAATGGCGTCGTGCGGGCCGCAGTCGTGAGCGGCCGCACCGGGCCGCACCGGCCGCGGACGCCCGTAGCAGCACAGGTCGATCGTAGCAGCGCTCTGGAGTGTTCGCTGTTCCTCTTCAGCGGTGTCCAGCCGGCGTACGGTGCATAGCGGCAACCGGCCGGGCTGGTCCGCTCATCAGCCCTCAGCTGACGCACACTGCAGCCACCGGCCGTAGTTGACCAGCAGCCTCTCAGTCGTCGCGCCTTTTCCACTTCAGCGCCGCGGGCTGTCGCAGCGCCTCATCCGGCGCCATCTGTAGTCGTGACACCTCCTTCAGCGCCACCCTTAGCTATGGCACCTCGCTCAGCGCCACCTTTAGCAGCAGCGCTTTCTTCAGCGCCGCCTGTAGCAGTGGTACCTCCTTTAGCATCACCTGCAGCAGCCATGCCTCCTTTAGCACCACCTCACTTCAGCTGCAGTCTCGGCGCCTGCTTCAGCACTACATTCAACAGCGCCTTCAGCGTTTCCACTTCAGCGCCGCGGGCCGTCGCAGCGCCTCATCCGGCGCCATCTGTAGTCGTGACACCTCCTTCAGCGCCACCCTTAGCTATGGCACCTCGCTCAGCGCCACCTTTAGCAGCAGCGCTTTCTTCAGGGCCGCCTGTAGCAGTGGTACCTCCTTTAGCATCACCTGCAGCAGCCATGCCTCCTTTAGCACCACCTCACTTCAGCTGCAGTCTCGGCGCCTGCTTCAGCACTACATTCAACAGCGCCTTCAGCGTTTCCACTTCAGCGCCGCGGGCCGTCGCAGCGCCTCATCCGGCGCCATCTGTAGTCGTGACACCTCCTTCAGCGCCACCCTTAGCTATGGCACCTCGCTCAGCGCCACCTTTAGCAGCAGCGCTTTCTTCAGCGCCGCCTGTAGCAGTGGTACCTCCTTTAGCATCACCTGCAGCAGCCATGCCTCCTGTAGCACCACCTCACTTCAGCTGCAGTCTCGGCGCCTGCTTCAGCACTACATTCAACAGCGCCTTCAGCGCCATTTTTCAGTAGCGGCGCCTCCTTCAGCGCCCCGTCATCGCAGCGCGTATCGCCAGCGTCGCGACACTGCGTCGCGATTGATTCCGGCCGCTGTGCACCGGATCTGCAGTCGATGTGCCCTGCGACCGTAGTCTCGGGCGCAGCGTCCTCTGCAGGCGCAGCGACCTCAGCTGCCGTCGCGTCGTCTGTAAGTGCCAGTTCGCCAGTACGCCGTCGCGCAGCGGCGGCGCTGCCCTCCAGTCCCGAGGCCGCAGCAACCGGTCCAGGGATCGGGACCGGCGCCGCCCCACGCAGGCGCCGTGTCGCCGCGATGGCCAGTAAGGTGCGAGACGCCCAGCCGCGCCCCGCGTTGTCCCCAGGTGTGACGTTCCCTTCCCGTCAGCTGCTGGCCCGGTAGTGCTGCGGGTAGCCATCTGTTGGCACACTAAAATACTCATATAAGCGGGGTGCCACACTAGGGTCCCATACATACACGGCCATACACATACACACACAAACACCTCTCACGCCTCCCATTACACACGGTACACATTACACTAAATATCGTTACCAGGCATAGCTCCAGTGTAGTCGGCTGACCGCCGAAGAGGAGCCGATCAGTCTCGTCATGCCTGCACACTGACATTCAATGGTTAGCAGACATCCAACATCGGGCGCTCACATTTACAATCATACACACATACACATTACACACGTTACTGCATCGACCTTTAGTCATGACATATCCCTGCATTGTTTCCTTTTTTAAAACATCAATTTAGGCCAATATCACATTCGCTTTAGCCTTTGATGCACCCGTGCGTCCCTTTGGATACATAACTGATTATAGCTTGGAGGCAAATGTAGGATAGATGCAAAGGTAAATCCCAATCAGCACCAGCCGTGATGCAAACAATGGGCAGCCTCTGGGTTGACGGGTGGCACTCTGGCATAAGTTAGCCGTACATGATGTATGACATGCCTTCACGGCTGGCGCGACCGATCTGAGCTCCCGAATAGCCATCCCAATTTAAACGTTTTGGCCGTGCCGAAATGTTTCACTTTTATCCACCTTTGTCGGTTATTTTGAGCCAAAACGTATACTTGCCCGTCGGTTGTAATAGCCTTGGTTTGAGAGACTTGCTATTAGCTGTTTTCACGATGGTGGTACGTATTTGGTGCACATGTGGTGCAGTTTAGGTGCGAATTTGCCTAAATCAGGCTCGATTGTTAGATGACCCGTCGTGGAAACAGCCATTTACCCACCTGATTCATCATACTTGCCTTTAGGTTGAGTTGAAAGTGTTTCCAATGCGCATAATTTCGCGTATTGTCAGTGACAGAGGTAAAGCGCGATAACTAGTGTGAGCACTGAGCAGCGAAATATGGCATGTCGCTGGCAGGCTCAGGGCGCCGCGGTCACGTTTGTGGAAATTCGCCACCGTTCGAACCTGAGACGGATCGCGTCCGATGATTTACGGACCGAGCACTCGGGGCGCCGGCCGCCGGGGTGTCGGGTGACATATCACGTGACTCGGTCCAGCGTGTCGCGGTTTGCCGTCGGATAGCCATCCAGTTGACGGCTGTTGCTTGTCGCCGTTGGTTTGGTACTATACGTCGTCGTCGTGTCGTGAGAAAGCATGCTCGAGCACTGGGGCCGCGCGTGCTTCGTTGTGTCTCTCGTGATCATGGGAGGAGTGGTTGTGAGTGGCTTGTACCACTTGCTATATCAAGTCAGTCAGGACATGAACGAATTGGTGAGTCCATCTGTCAGGATGATGAATCCCAAATGATTGGATTAATGAATTTTATTGTCTGCCGGGGGGCCAAACTGTTGCCTTTTCGTTTGATGGGCCTGGTCTTGTGGACAGACAAGCTCGATGGGCCGTGTGGAATCGTCGCTGGGCCGACTTCTTCCATCCCTGGACGATGCCGCCCTGGAAGGTGCCCTTACGAACCAAACGGGGCGCATCCTCGACGCCATCCGTGCCGCTTTGCGTTACTAACAGGTCAGTGAAAGGTTGAGGCACATATTCTGGATGTTACTGCTTTTTTTGTGTCTGCTGCTTATTTACCTACTCACTCATTGTACTTTTGTCTTGCCAGGGATGCGGTGAGGAGGAGTAGACCTGCGTCGTATATCCAAGCTCACCACCGACTTCAGTCTCAGTGAGGTCTTTGTTACTTGTGCTGCGAGTGCGACATTGGCGCCTACCACGCGGGTCTGTGTCAAGTTGATTTGGTTCCTACATGTGAAGGCAGCTGTAATTTGTTTTGCGTCATGCGTTTCCCGTACTCAAGAATAGACGTTGTTATTTGTTTGTCGACGACTCGTTTTCCTTTTTGGCAAACGGCAAATTTTGAGATCGCAAGTTTCACTGTGCCAAAAGTGGCACTTACAAAAACACCTTTGGAAGCGTTGAGCCGGTGTGGAAAGGAGGCCACATAAGGGCGCATGATAATTGTGCAGCTTACTTTTTATGAACTACCGCCTTGAATGCAGGTAATTTATTACTCTTAGCTATACTGAAAGTTACGTTAACTTCGCAGCCTTTGAGCTGTTTTATAAATTGCCAACGTCAGTTTTAACCTGTTCTCCATGAATACTCCAGCGCAGCAATGCGCCGTCGTAATTTGTAAATCGCTGTAAACCGTAGATAATGTCTAGTTTTCGTAGTTCAGCCCGAATGTCGTTACTAAGGCTGAACATTAATTTCCCAAAGTCTGTAAGCTCGTTTCGTTGGAACCCGCATGCTTCCCGGGACCTTTTCTGCCGTTTAAATTTCGCCTACTGCGAACATTCCCGCCTGATCCATGGACCTTTTGTCTCCTGTCCTTGGCTCGTCTGCCGCGGTCAGAGATGTTTGGGCGGGGTCGGCGTCACCACGAGTGGCGCTGGACAGTTGGTTTGAGTTATTTACCATCGAGTCGGACAGACCCTGGAAATTCGATTCAGTAGCTACAATTATCAGAATTGTGTTTCTCTTTCCTTTTCATGCTCTCTCTCTCTCTCTCTCTCTCTCTCTCTCTCTCTCTCTCTCTCTCTCTCTCTCTCTCTCTCTCTCTCTCTCTCTCTCTCTCTTCTCTCTCTCTCTCTTTCACTCTCTCTCTCTCTCTCTCTCTCTCTCTCTCTCTCTCTCTCTCTCTCTCTCTCTCTCTCTCTCTCTCTCTCTCTCTCTCTCTCTCTCTGTCATTCTCTCTCTCTCTCACATTCACTTTCTTTGAATCATAATTAGTTTACGTCTCCTTTTATGTTAATGTGCTGCCGAGATTCCAATTGCTGAGTTCGGGGAATTTGTAATCCCTATTTGCAAACAAACGTGAATGGATAGCAATCGTCCCAATAATCCAAACAATGCCAGCCACAAACGTGCTCGGGTTCAGAGTGCACCGCCCTGGGCCCACTGTGTTTGTCATCTCAGTGGCTGTGGTGACCTTGGGTCGAGACAGCGCCCTCCAGTAAGCGAGCTACACAGATGAGCGATTTAAACGGGCTGGACGCCACGTTAAATGATGACGTGGCATAATTAGGTTAGGTATATAACGACTCGCCAGCACCCCCACAATCGGTTCCTCTCGCACATGGCAATTATGCCGAATACTTAGGTAATTGGTCGCCGCATTACAAAGTCTAATTCAGCGTAATGAAGATCACGAAGCATTCATTGTCACTTAATGAAATTTGAAATAAGATATTTGATCCGCCATTTGCTTGTGTAACTCTAACTAGACCTTTACAAGAATGCCATTATTAATTTATGAGAACTTTTCCAACCAATTCCAACTTATCCAATACATTTCATGGACATATTATCCTATTATTATAAATGCATTTCGCAAATAGTTGCAACAAATAACACATGCTGTTCCGCACGCTTCTGGCCTGCGCTCTCTAGTTTTGTCGTAATTTAGCCGGCTAATACCGATGTGAACTTCATCAATCGCCTGAATCATCTCTGTAGCCGCACACGTCTGATGAGAGCGTCGACCGTGGGTGGTGACCGTTTCGGTTTGTGTATGACTTTGGTCTAGCCTTTTTGCCTGTTCCGTCCTTGTCGTGAGAGTCCGGGTCTGGAGGTGACCTCCCGGGTCAGGCCCGGTTGTGTTAGATCTGATCCTCACTGCCGTGATGCATATCCTAAAGCCAAGGCCGACCCGCCTAAACACTTTACTGGTCGCAAAAAAAGCGTTGAGGGCGGCCTGCTGGCCGTGTCACCAGCGGCTGGAAGGTCACAGCATCACATCCCGTCTGTCTGGGGCGGTTTTTTTGTCGTGGATCTTTGTTCACCGGCCGGCTGCGGCCCCTTGACGCGCACGTCGCCTGACAATCGGCAAACCGGATCAAACTGGATTTCGTTGCTCGACTTTATTAGGTGTGCTATATTTGAATCGACCACGTTAACCCGCGCCCCGCTGGGCTATTCAGCCATACGCGCCCTGCTGGGGGGGGGCAGATTCTGCCCCCCCTGTCTAACTTCCGAACCGATGGTCGTAGAAAGACGGGGAAAACGGCAATCGAAAGCTCTCAACAAGGCGGATCTTAAGAGCCCAAATTTTTTTGCTTAAGTAGGTCAGAGGTCAGGTCAAGGTCAGGTCAAGGGTACAAAATGCAAGTTTCTACAGTATCGGCCTTGCACCGTAGTTGCCGCAGAATGGACTGAGACTGATTGCCCAAAACGTGTTCTTAGACTACCAAGACAATATTCGTTGCATACCATGTCATTCATAGGTCAAGGTCAAGGTCAGGTCAGGCCAGGTCAGGTCACCAAAAACAAAATTTAGAAAAGGGCATGTGCGACACATGTTTTATGGGTCATTTTACTCATAGAATTCAATAAGCACACTCAATAAGTGATATGGACCACCTCTGGACGAATTTCAGGTCGAGGTCAGGTCAAGGTCTGGTCAAGTGAGGTCAAATTTTGAAGTTGGTTTTTAAGGCCTAAAAAGGTGTCTATCGGATGCAGTTTTTCACGGCGAATCGAATGGTGCTATTTTTGTTTCCGTACGAGGTTTAGAACGTCCAAAAAAATCATTTTTCAAAAATTTTGTGTGTCGTGACGTCATAAAATTTTGAATAACTCCCACATTTTTGAACCGATTCTTCTCAAAATTAGTATGTAGGTGCACATAGACCACTTCTCTGACATATATTCCGGTTTTTTCGATACACTCAAAATTTTGGATTTTATAATTATTTTTCCAAAAAAGTCAGTTTTTTGAAAAAATTTGGGCCAAAATCCAAAATTTTCAAAAAACCGAGATAGCCATTTGATAGACAAAGTAAAATAACGTATAACCTTTTTTGTTACGTCTTGATTCCTTTAAAACTGAAGATGTTAGCGGCGTTTGAAATTTTGCCGTTTTTGATGCGAAAATGGCGAACATGACGTCACTAAAACGTCAATTTCTCAAAAATTTTCCGACGGATTTCGCTCAAATTTTGAGGGAACGTGTCAAATTGATGTATGATAAGGTACCGTAAGTTTGACGTTGCTGGCGTAACGCGTTTAGAAGTTATTGGCGAAAAACGGGAGGGGGGGCAGATTCTGCCCCCCCCAGCGGGGCGCGGGTTAAGAGATTTCCTCAGCTATGCGTATTCTTTACATCACCCGACATCACGCATGACAATGGACTTTACACAGCATTAGTTACGGAATGGAATTATCGATTAAAGCCGGTTGACTTTAAATGGGTTTCGTACAGACTGTGTCTCCATACGGCCGAAGGATGGTGCCTCAGTTAAGGCAGTAACAGTGACTTTTGTTTGATCCTCACTGTCTAGACGCAAACCTTGAGGCCATGGCCGATTCGATAAAAAAAACGTCCTACCAGCCGCAAAAACAACATCGAGAGCGGCCTGCTTGCCGTACAAAAAGTGGCGAGTGAAAGTACAAATGTGGAGGTCACCACTTCTTACCCCGTCTGTCTCGGGTGTTTTTGTGGTCGCAGTTCTCTGTTAACTGGCTGACGCGGCTCTTTGTGATAAGAAGGGTCGACACAGCATTTGATTATACCGTTTTTCTCCAGACGCGAATTTACATAGTATATTTCAATAAGGCATGTGCCAGGAGCAAAACTTGTTTGTCTCCGGCCGCGGGAAGATCTAATTTTTATTGTTTCCCAAGCATCCGAGGGATCTAACCTTCATGAATTTTAATCTTAATTTTAATCTTTGACAACCAACAATATCTAAATCGTGCGGGGAGAAAATCTTTGTAAATCACGGTAATCGCGGTAAACTAAGCGTCAATTATAGGAAAGATCATCTCTCTAGAAACGAATGTAGAAGCTCTATATTTTGTGCAATTAATCCTTAACTTCGTGGGTACTTCAAGACATAACAAGGTTCCAACTTTGAAAAGACTTTGATTAATTAAGGACACTTTTGTAAACGTCAAGTGGGAATCGTGTCGCCCGTTTCACTGCAATGCTCATGTCAGATTAATCGTTCAATCTTTCGGCATACTCGCAATTCTCAGACAGTCACTCCACCGTGTCACAGAAGCATTCTCCTCTTTCACTCAGTTCACGCACATACTCCGCACCTTTCACTCATCCTTGCAATTACCACACAAGCAAACAGACTGACTAATTCTCATTTTTGATCCGATCTCACCTCTCATTCTACACTCTTACTCCCACACAGTTGCATTCTCCACATTTTAACTCTCACATGCCACACCCTTTTTTTTACTCTCACATGCAATTTACACATCCTCAATTCCAGACAGTCACCCTGCACATCCGCACTTCGCACTCTACTCTATTACTTATTAACCGTTTTCACGACGGGCAATCTGGCGAACAGACTTAAACTAACCAAATATGTACCACCTCTACTTTACAGCCAATATAGTTAATATTTTGAATTCATGACAAAGAAGGCTTGCAAGGTATTAGCTCTACCTTAGCTAATAGCTACGAAGAAACAACTTGAACCCAATTTGATCTAAATGACCAATCGTGAACCAAATGTGTACCCGATGGCCGTCGTAAAAACGGCTATTGTCAACTATATCGTATTCGCTCATTCACACAGCATATTTGCAGCTCGCAAGCTGTATTTCGGTTTTCTTAGTGTTGCTATTTTTATTGCAGTCATCGCAAACTTTTGCCTATCAATTTTGGCTGCTGGCTTGGCTCGTTTGTTCCCAGAAGTTCGGATATTGAGCGGAGTAAATTGAATAAATTTAGAATGGCTCAATCGACCGTTCTTTCAAGATCAATTCGGTGGGGGCGTCTAACAGCTGCAGCCGTCTGATTTACACAGTTTAAGATTTACAAAATCACGTACCTACTGAGCAAGCGCACTGGATTTACAG